CAGGACACTGAGGCTCCTCTAAGAGTATGAGGATGGCCTATGGGGACACAGCCTCAGTCAGCTGCCCAGTATGGCATGGTGGTTGGTTATAGATGTTATATCCAGAGACTGGCTTTGCAGAATTTGCTGATGGGTAATATTTGGGGATTTTGGCAGAGTTTCAAAGTTGGTAGATTTATAGGAAGTGTATTAGATGTCTGGAGACCCTAGGGTATAGGGGTTTGTGTGAGTTGGAGGGAAGTGGGAGGAATAGAGAGAGAGGTTGGAAGAAAGAGAGAGAAAGAGAGAAGTTGATAAAGACAGAGACCAATGATGTGAATATATTTTGGGTGAGAGTGGGAGTTGAGGATGGAAAGCAAGAGAAGAGAATTTTTGAGAAGGGATGGTGGGAGACAGGGAGGGTCTAGCACTGTGTCCAGAATCTAGAAGTTTCTGGAACACATCATGTCTCACAGGGAAAGCAGTTTCATTCCAGCCTGAGTCAGCCCACCTACCAGAAGCTTTGCTCCCTGCTGTCTGTACTGTCACTCACACTCACAGGCACATCTACTTCAGTGCCCCCAAGTCATTTCATGGTATATTCACCTGTACCTTTGCTGCTCATGTGACAGACAGACAGCCAACAAGGTGTCAAGGTACCAGCAAGTAGCCTGGGTTGAAGTGCAAAGGAAAACACTGACAAACATAAAATACTTATATTCCTAACTGTCTGGTATCAATTATAGCCAGTTAGCACTTAAAAAATTCAAGAGGCTAGGAGCAGTGGTATCAATATGGAGGTCCAAAGGCTTGTGTCTTTGATTAGGTGCATATGCACATGTAAAGAACACACTTGCACATAGAAATCTTTCAGTAACTGGCAGTTTCATGAAAATGATGTAAGAAGGATAAGTCCATTCCTGGCTTTCTCTTTCAACAGGTTCAGTTACATAGTGCAAACTGTTCACAGATCAGACCATTTATTCCCCAATGAGTGTCTGTTTGGCCTGGACCCAAGTCCTGCTAGGCTAGAGGGCGATGGCGGCTGCAGGAGCTGCTTTGGCTACTGTGCTTTTTGTACACATGAAGCTCCCACATTTTACCCTTGGAATTGGATAGTCCCTTGCAGAGTACATTGAACTTGGAGGATTTTTTTTCTTGTATTTTGCAGCCTCCAAAAACACCGAAGGCTTTTCTTAAAATCACAGTTCAGTTGAACTTTGACTAGCTTTTTATACAAAGTTCAGTTTAGTCACTTAAACAGAAGGACATCATGAAATACGTTTTCATTCTGATTATTTTGCACCTAATTGGGAGACAACCACCAAATAAAAAGGCTTTCAGGATTTTTCTACTAGACCATAAAATCTCTTTAATTCTTCGACAAATGTACAGTTTGAATGAACTAAAGCCAGGGTTTATAGTAGGCCAGAAAAGAAGGCTAGAATTAATGGAAATTAGTAGCTTTGCATTTTGGAGACAAACTGAATAGGACAGAACTATTTATCAGAGCCAGGTTCTTAAAAATACCCAGTGAAACAGAGAATAAAGGCATATCCTTTCATACTTCATGGTTATACAATGAAGTAACTGGCTTTAGTGATATACACCATTTAAAAAAATAAATTTATTTATTTATTTTTATTTTTGGCTGTGTTGGGTCTTCGTTGCTGTGCATGGGCTTCCTCTAGTTGCGGAGAGCGGGGGCTACTCTTCGTTGAGGTGCGCGGGCTTCTCATTGCGGTGGCTTCTCTTGTTGCAGAGCATGGGCTCTAGGCACGTGGACTTCAGTAGTTGTGACTCACGGGCTTAGCTGCTCCATGGCATGTGGGATCTTCCTGGGCCAGGGATCGAACCCGTGTCCCCTGCATTGGCAGGCGGATTCTTAACCACTGCGCCACCAGGGAAGCCCTGTACACCATTTTAAAAATAATCATCAGCAAGTTACACGCAACAGTATGGTTTGGAAAAGTAAATCATCTATGCCTTGTGTCCGGGATGTACATTTCAGAAATCCTGATTGTATACACTGGTATGAAGATATGCGCTGGCCCTGGTTTATAGAATTTTAAAAAAACAATTGGTGAGGGCTTCCCTGGTGCGCAGTGGTTGAGAGTCCACCTGCCGATGCAGGGGACACGGGTTCGTGCCCCGGTCCGGGAAGATCCCACATGCCGTGGAGCGGCTGGGGCCCGTGAGCCATGGCCGCTGAGCCTGCGCGTCCGGAGCCTGTGCTCTGCAACGGGAGAGGCCACAACAGTGAGAGGCCCGCGTACAGCAAAAAAAAAAAAAAATTTGGTGAGGCTTGAGCTCTAGAAAGCCTTCCCTGAACCCACCAAGTTGGGCGAAATGTCCACCAATATATGTCTACGTACTTACCTGTTTAGGTATCTGTCATTCATAATACATTGTAAGGTCCTTGAGAGCAGAGACTGTAGTCTGCCCATATTTAAAACACCACTACCAACATAAAGTAGGTGCTAAATAAATATTTGTTAAACTGTTGATGGAAGTCAGGCAGTGGGACAAATGAAAATTGGGCAGGGAGGTGGCCTAAAATGAACATTAAAAAATTGCACACTTTCTACTCTGCTCTCCATGATTTGTATAAAAATCTATACTCCTGAATCTGAGCCCATCTGTATGACAGGGCCAGGTTTATATAATATCATTAAAGAGCCTATCTTGCTAAGTTTCTCTCTCTTAAACTTCATTATTTTATTCTGTCCTCTTGCCTGAGATCTCAAGATAATAATATGCCTTTTGTAAAGTTCATGAATCTTAGAGGACCTTCCTGGTCATCAGTCTTTCATATCTTACCATGACATTGTTGGATCAGGTTGCTCTACTTTTTTAACACCCAGCTGAGATTAGCAATGAGGAAAAAAGAATTTTAACTAAAGAGGTGGGAGGATGAGAGATGGTGCCAAATTAAGAGAGAGGAGAGTGTTTTGGAGCGTGGGGAAATAGAGGGGAAATCCAGTCTGGGTAGCTCACTGCAGATCCAGGTCCTAAGTGGGGTAGGAGCTGGAAGTGAAGCATATACATAGGTGCAGAAAAGTATTTGGTGAAGAAGTCAAATTTAGAATCAAGTTACAGACTATGAGAGTTAGGATTATTACATGCCCTTAATGCCAATAGGGTGTGGAGCTATAGGAAGGTTGAGTGACTTTCCCAAGGTCATATGACTATTTCTTGGTTGAGCTAGAAATAAAATCAACAGAACTTTAATCTTTCTACCACACCAGTAATTAAATTCAGTTCGAGTGCTTGTTAAGCATTTACTACGTACTCAGCACTGTGCTTCACACTGCTGAGAGTTCAAGTTCCATTTAAGGTCTTTTATCACCATAAAGTCCTCCATTTTCCTTTCTTTGTAATAAGGACTTCTTATTGTGAAAGCCAAAACACATGAGCAACATTCCTAACTTGTGCTGGGACACTGGAATCTAAAGGTAATGAGCGAAAGTCTCTGCCTTTCAGTAGATTCAAATCAATCAGGGTAACAAATATAATAAAGCCAATTATAAAGAACTAACTCCTCTCTTTGGAATCAACTTGAACATCTCCCTCTCGAGAGCCATGTAGTCATCAAGTCACGTAGATTCTGTCTTAATAATGTCTCCCAGGTCTGCTCTTTACTTATATAGCCTTCATTCTCACCCTAGTCTGCATTCTCATCACCTCTCATAAGGATTATTACAATAGTCTCTAAATTGGTATTCCTATACCTATTTTCTCTTGTCCTTCAATCATTGCACACCTATGTCAGATTAATATTCCTATAACATCACTGTATGTACGTACACCACAAATCTGTTCAAAAGCATTTAATGTTCCCCGCTGACCAATATTAAAGGCCAAATTTTTATACTGACTTCACAGTCACCCCTTTTGTCCTCCTTTGTAGTTATCTGTTTATGGACATGCCTTGTTCCTGACACTAGATTATAAATTCATAAGGGCAGGGACTCTAGCTTCTTGTCTTTCAATTCCTGTATCCAAGCACAAATTAGGCACTCAGTAAGTGTTTCTTACTGATGATGATCACTTCTTATATTATTAAAATATTTTCATTTAATGCCCATAATCAAATTTACAGAAGACGTTTCTGCATTTGCTAAAGGCTTTTGTTATTAGTTATTTGATTTAATCTTTCTAACCATTAATTTTCAGAATATTTCATATTATCTATAATATTACACACATTCACATAGAGTTAAGTCAAGCTTTGTCAGAGACTGACCTAATTCCTTAATATGTGTCCCAAACACCTACACTGTTATGATTTGACTTGTCTCCCAGTATTTAAGCTTAAATCTGTCTTATCACTACTAAATATACAACCCATCCTGGCCAAGAATATTAAGAGGAACAAATAACTCTCCCTTCTCTTTGTTCTTTGTGTTTGTTCTTTGTACTAGTTCCCACAGTGGGTATATTCCCAATGGATCCATAGGGAGTCAACAGTTTTAGCTGAAGGCAAATGATGGATTATGGTCACTCAGAGAAATTCCATACTCATTTTTAACCAGATGGGAAACAAGGTGTCATGGAAAAATCATTGGCTTAGCAATCAGAGGGTTCTAGACTTGGTTTTGCTGGCAACTAACAGTGTGATCTTAGAGGCATATAAATACTTGCTATGAATCTATCTGCACATCTATCAAACAAAGGGGTGGTGGATTTGATTCATTCATTTCACAAACCTTTGATGGTTGTTGAATACATGATAGGCATGGTACAAGACACTTTAAGGAATAGAAACATGAACCAGACATGAGTTTCTGTCCTTGAGAAGATTATAAATCTAGAAAGCAAAGTTATGTACCCAAAGGACTGAAATACAAGGTAGACAGGCATAAGAACCATGAAATAGGTACAGATAAAGTATGTAATGATCTCGCAGATCCCTTCAGCCTAAACATTCTATGATTGATAATTCATTTTTCATGGAGAAAAGACTTCCCTTCCCAAAACAGAGATATTGTAATTATTTATCAAAGTGTTTCCTTCACTAGCATTACCACCTACGTCAATGGGAAAGCTAAGAAGGCCCAGTTGAATGATTTTGGCCTTAATCACAAGGAAATGGAAAAAGAACCTTTTACATAAAGAATTAATACTCTTTAACAAGTCAGCAAAAGAAAACAACAGGAACTTTTACAATTAGATACATTAGTAACTATTTTATAAAAGAATGGTGAAGACAAAAATCAAATCACACACGACTGAGTCTCTGCTATATTTCTAGCCCTCCTCAATATGGTGCCCCTCCTCAATCTGATTAGCATGTAGGTAGGGAGATAAGACTAATTACACAGAGGATGATTTTAAAACAGTTCACAATAAAATTGCATAGTGCCAATTATGGTACCACAGTAGGTAAGAGAAGAGAAACACTGCAATGATGGAAAGAGCTGTCTTTAAAATAGTCAGATCTGGGTTTAAAACCTTCTCTGCCGCTTACCGGTTATGTGACCCTGGACCTATTGCTTAACTTCCTTGTAACTCAGTTTCCTCAACTGCACAATGAGGATAATTGTAGAACATCCTATGCAGGTTTGTTGCAAAGATTAAATGAGCTAATGCATGTCAAGCACCAAACACAGTGTCTGGCCCATAGAGATGCTTAATGGCTATTTGTTGGATGTGATAATAAGGGTGGGTTGAAATACCTGAGGAAGAAGTTCTGCCCAATACGGGCATTTAAAGATGGCAGAGAAGAGGGAGTAGGAAAATATGTAAATGAAATCTGGTTGTAATTTTGACCTGTAAGGAAAAAAATCAAAAGAGAATAATATGCATTATCTTATACACTTCCACGATGTATGTAGAAATAACCTAATGTCAGCAACCTCCAGCTAATATCTAGTGATAATTAACAATCTAGTACTTGTTTTGCTGGCATATCTCTTCTCAACTTTGTCATTAAACTGTCTCATCAGTGAATCATTAAATATCATAGCCCTACTGAATTTGGTTCACGGATCATCAGAGTAAATGCAAGCACAATTTACTTGCTAAATTCAACAAATTTTCTTTTGATCTGCTAGCAGCCCCACATGAGTAAAACTTTGAGAAATACTTCCAAGTAGCATAACTCTTTCTTATATCAACCTTTCTAAAATTGTTGAAACTGGGTGAAGTATTTGACCAGCCTGCGCCTTTTTTCTTTTTACATAGTTAATATTATGATGACTGGCAGACCGAAAATATTTTGGTCCTTTGGGATGAAATGTGTTATTAGAAACGGAAGACACAAATCATCAAAAATAAAATTTGGAAGCAAGAAGCTTATCCAATGACTTCAGTTTTCAAGGAAGAAAACTGAGCACATTATTGAGAATAATTTGTTTTCTAAGTTTGATATGAACTGAAGCATGTTTCCTCTGAAGCATGAGGAAACAATAGTCTCATGGTCTTTGACACACTAGAGCTGTGGTGGAAACATCGCATCCCATTTCAATTCATGAACTTTGGGTTAGGAAAATTAATCTGGAAAAAAACAAAACTCCCTCTATTTAACTTTCCAATGAAATTGCACTCACTTTGCGTGTCCCCATTACTTGACTTTGAGTGGAGGTAACCATACTCTCTTCCTACAGCCCTGCATGATTAGAAAAACTCACAGCAGCACTTGGTCTCTAGGTTGTCTTAGCCTGACCCAGGCAATTACCCCTGGGCATATTTCCAGGGGTTAGGAGAAAGTTATTTTTTGAGAAAATGATGGCATTTTGTAAAAAAACATAAAAGCATTTGCAAAGACTGAACATATTAGAATCAAGTTCTCTTCAGAGAGTTCATCTTTCTGTATACAGCCAGTGATTCTAAGAAGTAAACCTCATTTCCACTACCCGTTATAACTGAAAGACTTCTCTCTATCATTAAAAGACATTATTCCCAGAAGGGTGAATTTGTTGTTAAAAGATGAGGCATAAGTCTAGTTTTTGAAATCAATTGCTTAAAACCTCCAGAGTTGATCAGGAGTTAGGCAGCAATTTTAGGGTTTAGTAATCCAAGCATCCTTAAATAGACTTGAGGCCTGGAGCCACAACTGAGAAGTATGCCATGATCCTGTGGGGGACAAACCCATTATTTCCTCCAGAAGATTTTTAAAGAAACTTAAAAAATAGTCAAGTATGTTTTATGATAAAAACAATGAGACATATTTTGAATAACAGGTAATAAGATACAGGCACATAAAGATGTAATGAAATTATAATTTTTTAAAAATGGTCTTCCAGTGTCTAACATTAATAGGTGTTTTTCACAATTAAAAATCTTGCCTTTCCATCTGGAGATGGTTTTAACATGAAAATACGGTAGATGAAATGGATAATTCAGGTTGCAAGTCTATGAATTTTATATTCCTATCCAAATGCATGTTGTTTCCCTCCCAAGATACCGACTCTGAGGTTTGCCAATTACAATAGTGTGACTATTTTGAAAGAATATTCATTTGAATTCCCAGCAAAAATAATTTCAAGGAGATGCTGCCATTCAAAACATTCACAAATGAACTCCATACTTCATTACCTCAATTGCAGGCACAAATATAAAGGCACTACGACTTTTTTTTTTAAAGATTTAATTTAATTTATTTTTGGCTGTGTTGGGTCTTCGTAGCTGCGTGCGGGCTTTCTCTAGTTGTGGCGAGCGGGAGCTACTCTTTGTTGCGGTGCGCGGGCTTCTCATTGCGGTGGCTTCTCTTGTGGAGCACAGGCTCTAAGCGTGCAGGCTTCAGTAGTTGTGGCATGTGGGCTCAGCAGTTGTGGCTCGCGGGCTCTAGAGCACAGGTTCAGTAGTTGTTGCACACGGGCTTAGTTGCTCTGCGGCACGTGGGATCTTCCCAGACCAGGGATTGAACCCATGTCCCCTGCATTGGCAGGCGGATTCTTAACCACTGCGCCACCAGGGAGGCCCCAGAAGACACTGACTTTTTCATTCAAAATATGTTTTTGACTGAAACAAAAAAATCATGTTCTCTGTTAGAAAAAGACACCCGAGGAAGGGTAAACGTAGACTGCTTCTACTGTGAACGTGAACTTGATAGTTGTGTTCTGTTACTGACAATGACATATACGTTTTGTTCCCTGTGGAACCTGTTTTACTATCTCTGACCATTTTATGACTGTTTAGTTTTGCAGACTGTCTAATATCTGTGCCCATGGCAAACCACTGAAGATAAAATGTGCAGAGGAAAGAGAATGTGGTTTATTGAATGCTAAACTAAGCTGAAAGTCAGCGGACCTTGCTTCTATTTCTGGCTTTTCTTTGAACAAATCATACCTTCCTTGACCTTGAACAAGTAATTTACTATCACTCTACCCCAGATGGTGCAATTAGGCCTCATTATAAGAAAACTCCAATACCACATTTTTCCATAGCATAATTTATAAAGTAGGGAATAAATGTGAAATACATTAATTGAAGAACTGCTCATTCAAAGTGCTTCAAAGACCCCCTACCTAATGGTACCATCAAAAGTATAGATAGAAACAAACTCTAGAATAGCAGTGGGAATACGTGGTTCCTATGGCCTCAGGTGAGATCTGAGGGGCAGTTATGATGGGAAAAGGAGAAACCCAGGACAAAGATTTGCAGTTATTCTCCCTCCTTCCCTTACTTTCTTCTGTTTCTTCCTTCCTGGTTTTATTGGAAAAGGAGTGGGAATTGCCAAATGTTGCTTGCACTGAGGACATCCACAGTGATGATACTATTGGCCAGAGGAAAGTTCCACCTGAACAAGGCCAAAGAACAATAATTGAGGGCTTTATGGGTGAGAGGATGGGGAATGGTCTATCATGTGCACCTCTGATAATATAATGGAAGTTTCAGAAGGGGAAACCAGTATGATGGCCAAACTATCTGGGATTTTTAAGCACCTAGGCTATAAACAAAGCCGCTCTTTTTTCCAAGTCTCGGGATGTGGCCTTTAAAAAAGTCATGTCCCAGGAATACATCTTCAGCTATAGGATGTAAGATAGTAATAAAGCAGAATTCCTTTTTTTCAAGGTCACTCTACCAAAAAAAAAAAATCCAGGGATGCATTTATTTCATATATTGAAGGATAGTTAGACCAGGTGATTATTTCTATTTTATTTTATGGCATCAAGTGAATTGGGTATAATAATAAAATAGAATTAGAGAATTCTGGAGTCAGAAGGAGCATTAGAAATAATTCAGTCATTGTATAGCATGTAAACTTAGGCACAGAAAAAGAAAGTGAGTTGCCCAAGATCAAAACTTAGTAAATACTACCTATAGCTGATTCACTTTGCTGTATAGTAGAAACTAACATGACACTGTAAAGCAAATATACTCCAAAAAAAAAAAAAGATGAAACCACCTACTTCATAGGACTCTGGGATAAAATGAGAGGATACATGTAATGTACTTAGCACAAGAAAAGCATTACAAATGGTGAGCATTATTATTACCACGGGATTATTGTTAGTGTGAATCCCAGAATAAAGAAACAGCATGCTTCAAAGATGTTATACACACACACACACACATATATATATATATACGTATACATATATATGTATATATCTATATTCTTTTTTCGATTACTTTCCATTATAGTTTATTACAAGATATTGAATATAGTTCACTGTGTTATACAGTAAATCCTTGTTGTTTATCAAATAAATTTTAATTAAGGTTATTTTGATCCTAAATTTGTATGCTCAGTTTAAAAAAAATTGTTGTTTTAAGATTCTCTGTCACAACCATATTTAAATAAAGTATTTTTGTAGACCTTAAAAAAAAACTTAGTAAATATTGACACTAGAAGTCAAATCTTCTGAATCTCATTACAGCAATAAATATTCCACTGCTTAGATTTGACATCGTATGACCTGACAAGTTCCTAGAAGTAGTACATTTGAATTTTCCTTCTTTCTATAAGAGGTACAACTGCTAAATATGAACCAGTTACTGGGACCATAACTGACTTTCGTTGGATGTTCCCTAGTTTTCATTTTGGCTTTAATTTTTCTACCAGTATGGCATAAGTTATTAATTATTGTGATTGTTATTATTAGTCGCAGCAGAATGAAAGGAGGAGAAAAATATTAAAAGGCTGAAATGTGTTACCCAATAAAGCC